TCCCAGTTTCTCTGTCACATCGGATCGGATGATGGCCCCTTCTACAGGGGAGCCTCTGAAATGTCCACCTTCTTCCTCAACTGAGGATTACCCACCAGCATTGTTGACAGGCTCCTCAATCGTGTCTGACACACCACCCGCACTTTGGCCCTCACCTTCTTTCTTCTCTCCCACTACGGCGATAGGGTCACCGGTCCTCACTTACCGCTCCACCAGCATCCACGTCCAAAAGATCATTAGCCACCACGTCTGCCACCTCCAGCAGGATGTCACCACCAGATAGTTATTCCCTTCCCCTCCCTTCTCAGCCTTCTGCAGGGACCATTCCATCTATGATACATTAGTCCACTCCTCCTGAATACGTATCTTCAGGTTCAAGGAAGAATCTGTTAAATTTCTGTTTTATTTTTCAAAAAACCTCAAATTAATTGACCTCAGATAATCAGCCTGTGGAAACCACCTTCACCAAGCAGGAAAGCATGTTCCAAGAAGGGGTTAGGAGATTACTAGTCAAATGGCTTTTTTGCAGAGAATATTGTCTTATCCTCTCCCTGAGACATCTATGTAACAAATTTAAATGAGCTTCAATAGGGCATTGATGAATTTATGGAGCTAGGTCACAGATCAGCCTTGATTTCAACGAATTGCAGGACAGGTTTGAAGAGTTAAATAGCCCACTCTTGTTTCTATGTTCTAATTCATGATCAAAATAGCCTTTTTTTGTAAACTTGGCATACTGTAGTTACACCCTCATGACAGCTTCTAGCTTCTACAAATCTTTCAGATTTGTCTATCACTTTCCATCTTCTAAAACCTTGTTAGTTCTATTAGATCAATCATAATCCAGCTAAGTGGCACATCAGGTTCAGAGTACTGAAGGGCCATCACATTTTTCTAAACCTATTTTAATTACAACTCCGTTTATATCACTAATTCCTCATCTAACTTTCATTTGGAAGGAAACTTGTGTTTCCTTCTATGGTGGTCTTTGGGATTTTGTAGTATGTTAGGGGTTTTTTATATTTCAGAGCACCTATTTTAGTCTTGATTGTAATAAACCATTTTCATTTGATGGTGAAGCATGGTGTTACTTCTCGGATGTTGATGAAAGGAGTACACCAAGCAGTTAATTAAAGAATATGGGTGGGGTAAAAACTTATCTGTGGTTGGTGCCACTTCATGCTGGGTGAAGCATTCACCATGACATGCAGTTGTCTGTTCTCCTGTTTTGATACAGCTGGAGATCAGATCAGAATTTGTAAGTTTAATTTGTTCGCTCCCATTCAGGATTTCTGATTGGTGTACCAAGATGTACTTACTATCAATTGTGAACTAACTATATTTTTTCCATCTTTTCCCAACTTCCCTCCTCCTCAAATTAGATGTGCTCAATATCCCTATTGAATACACTTCAGAAAAGACTACTGGATGCCTTAATGACTTGTATGACCAGTTCATGAAATTTTATGAAGTCCAAAACAGTTTGGAAACCTCAAAGGTTCAAGCACGCTTAATTAATTTATTTTGTGGATCATTTGCATGTAGCTGTCACTTTTTGCTTTATCTTCAATTTGTTGTAATATGGCTGACCTTTCTGAGTAAGAGCAGTCATGTGAGTAACATCAACTAAAGGATTAAGATAAAGTTTGGAAGAGCGATCAGTAAGCTTGCTGTCCAGTAATAATAGTATGAAGTGTGCAGATGTGATGATAAAGTAGTAATATGATCTTTATTCCAAAAGAAGCTTCAAAAATAAAAGTTACCTAATTTCATATTGTAATGCCAGTAATTGATCTAAATGGGTGTGAAAAATTTCATTTTTTTAAATGTTAATAAAAATTTTGTTTTTAGAGAAATAAAACAAATGTATTTCATTGAAATATTTTTTCTATGTAAAATAAATGTTCCTTTCTGTATTGCTATGTTTATTTTCATCTTTTTAAAAAAAACTAGGCTGGTCTAGACTGCCATGTTGTTCATAAATGTTTGAGCTCCAGCTAAATTTAGGGGAGTAACTCAGTCGGAGGGGTTGAGTCACCTTCTTAAACAGCTGTAATCCTTGGAGTGAAGCAGTGCTGTTCATATGGAAATTCCAGAACTTTGGCCCAATGACAATGTGGAAATGGTGGTATATGTCCAAATCTGGATGGTGATTGGCCGGGAAGGGGAATTCCAGGTGTTGTTTCGAATCATCTGCTGACCTTGTCCTTCCAGGTGATAGAGGCCGCAGCTTTGGAAGATGCTGTCAAAGAAGCCTTAATGAGTTATTGCAGTGCATCATGTTGGTACATGTTTCTGGCACTGTGTGCCAATGATGGAGGGAATCAATGTTTAAGATGGTGGATGGAATGCCAAACAAGTGGGCTGCTTTGTATTGGACAAGCTTCCTGAGTGTTGCTGAAATTGCATTCCTCCAGGCAAGTGGAGTATATTCCATCACATTCCTGACTTGTGCCTTGTAGATGGTCAACAGGTTTTGATGTTTTGGAGCAGAGTTATTTTCTGCAGAATTCCAAGCCTCTGACACATTCACTTCCTGGTCACTAGTGACCCCCACAATACGATAGTGGGGGATTCATCACTGGTAACGATCATCATCATGTTGTGGGGCAGTGGTGATATTAAAACAAAGAAGTGAAATGAGAAATGGAGCAAGGAGTATCATCCAGGTAATTTTTGTTCAACTTCGAGATCTCTCAATTTCAAACACTCAATCAGTTGTCTCTGAGAGTTAGAGAATATAAGGCAGTCAGTGTGCTGTCCAGTTTGTCCTTTATGTCAGTAATACAAGGGGAGCAAGCTACATATCAGATTCTTTCTGCTTCACTTAAGGGGGAAACAAATAATTCCTCATTTTGTTGTCAGCTTCCCTGCTTAGAAAGACAGACAGCAGCTTTAAGGCCCAATCTACCATCATGTCCACATCATGGGAACTATTCTTACATAAGGGTAATATTGATTCTTTTATGAATTTTTACGTTCTGTTGTTAATTCTGTTAAACTGATATTTTGAACATGACAAGCAACTTCCTGAATTGGAACTATTCATCAACCTTATTCATGACTTTTATCATCAACATTAATACAATAGAGGTTTAGCAGGCTTTCTATGGGCTGTATTCAGTGTCAAAAAGGAAATCACGACACGTTAGAATATTTTGTTTCTTTAGGTGTCTGCCCAAGCTGAAGCAGAATTATGAATCAGCATCTTCGAGAATGATGAAGGTTTGTAAAGCTTGCAACTCATTGTCCACACTTTAAATTTTAGCTATAAAATATATGCATAGAAAACCAGGTGGAATTATGAAAGGGAAGTGTAACACAATCAGTGGTAAAATTTGCTATCTAGTATAGTATTGACTTATGTACAAGGAGCCCAGAACATGAATCCTGGTCCTCATGGAATTAATTAAATAACATCGAAGTGCATGACAGTTAATTCTGAAGTCTTTTGGGCCAGGGAGGGCATTCATATCAAGTAGAAATTGTACTTTTGTGCTTTGCAGTAACACATAAGTGACTGAATAACTCTAGAACTACAGTTAGGTCTGGTTATAGGGTGGTGTGTAACCATTTAGACTATTTCAAACCATGAAATATATCTCCACCGCAATGACAGAGACAGCTTAAATACTGTATAGGGTCAGCTTGAAGCTTACAGATGCTTACTAAATTTACAGAGCTGAATTGTGTGTGTTGGGAATGGACATGTCCAATCTTAATAAATTTGAAAATTAACAACGGATTAGAATTTACTGTATGAATTTAACTGCCGAGGGTTAAGAATTTCAGTGGTATTTTTTGTATGGCATGGAATTTGATTAAACGCATCTTGCTGTCTGTCTGCTGCAAATTATCCAATTGTCTAGATTAAAAGAGAGATGCTGTTATTGCTGCAATGTTCAAAATTCTGGAGTATGGATGTCATCTTAATTGTTATTGGACTGTGCTTAAGATACTTGATTTTCATGTAGTATCCTACCTGTTTTGTAAACAATATTTGCTTATTCACAAATCTATCACATATGGCATGATAGACTGTATTAGGGGGTTTGAAAATTAGTCGAGCTGGATGAACACAGCAGGGTCTAGGCCTGAAACGTCAGCCTTCCTGCTCCTCTGATGCTGCTTGGCCTGCTGTGTTCATCCAGCTCTACACCTTGTTATCTCAGATTCTCCAGCATCTGCAGTTCCTACTATCTTTGAAAATTAGTCCATGTGTTAATGTACTTATTAAGACCAATATTGGGCTATTGATCTGATTTATAATTACTTTTTAGAAAGGTAATCAGGTCTTCATAATATCCCATGTCAAGTGTAGAAAAACCTTGATTTTGAAAGCAGTTTCTCCCGTCCACAATCCTAGGCCACATAAAAAGATAAAATCCTTCTCATCCTCAAGGTATTAATAGAACTGGTGAATAACCTTTGAGGTATAGCCTCAGATGATTTGTATGTAAAAAGGCAGCCAATTTGTACAGAGTTTTTCTCAAGCGGCTGTGTGACCATCATGTCTGTTTCAGATTGGAGCATTTGAGATATGAATGTTGGCTGATGACCCTTCTCCTGGCTCCTTGAACAGTGTCATAGACTTTTTATGCTTTTCACATTTTGGTTAAGTGTCATTTTTGTTGACTTTCATGAGAGGGATTCACTCTGAGAGGCCTAGCAGGTTTTCTAGTGCAATCGTCAGAAACTGTCCTTATTAACAGCCAATACTGGGATATACTGCTTTCACTGTGGCTAGCACGATGGTTAAAATACCTTTGCTCACCCAATCAAGTGCTGACAGTCTGGAGTTGCCGTGCACAGTTGCAGATGTTTGCCCCAGGCATGGCAAACCAGGAGAAATTGACAGTCCATTTTGCAAACAGGAACCTGGAAGTCTGGGTAGACTGTGTGGTGCAGCGAAGGGAAAATCTTTTTCCTCAGGACTGGCAGAAATGGCCATGACACCAAACTATACTAGCCTGGTCTGTTGTTGTTGCTGCTGCCTGCTCAGTCACCATATTTCCTGTGCCTGCATCAACGCTAACAACTGTGCCACCTGTATTCCCTTCACTCCAGCCCTTCCTTTCTCTCATAACAGGAGAAAATGACCCATGAAAGCATTGGAACAGCCAGAATGGGGTACTAGATATTAGTCTCTTCACCCCATATGAAATGAGGACCTTGCCCCTTGCAGGCCAAGACCAGGACTGGTCTGCAACAATGCAGAAACCTCCATGTACTGGAAACCAAATAAGACACATTGTCCATTGTTATGCTACTCTGCATGATCCCTACTGTGAATTTATTGTTAACATGCCACATCTTCCAACTCTTGATCGTGATACTTTCTCTCTTTGTCTGCTGCAGGCACAAGCAGAATGTCCACGGTGACTGCAGTCAAGAGGGCTGCTCACATTAATGCCCTCCTCCATCTCTGAGGAAGACAAACATGGTTGTTTCAAAGGAAGCACCAGCAAGGTTGCCTTGCGAAAACCACACCAGCTCAAATACTGACCCCTTAGAAGGTATTTCATCAAGGTTAGAGTTAGGAGCATCTGCTGGTGAGCACTTCGTGGAGACATCTCTGCAGTTGGCTGAGGAAAAAAATGCTCCATGAGGCTAGCAATCGGAGGATGCCAGAAACCAGGCATCTGTTCAGCCCCAGGCAGGAGAGGAACTCAGTGGTAAAATAAAACAGAACCGTGGATGCTGAAGATCTGAAACAGAAACAAAAACAAATTGCTGGTATAACTCAGTAGGCTTGGCAGCATCTGTGAGGAGACAGCAGAGTCTGGTGACTCTTCATCATAACTGATAGCAGCTAGGAAAATGTGGTTTTTGTGCTGCATGTGAGGTTAGTGGGAGAGATGAGTGGATAGGTGGAGATGGAGCCCAGAGAGAGAAGCATGAAAGGGGTAGGCAAATGAGGCAATTCTTGATAGTAGGCCAGGACAGAAGGGAAGCTGAATAAGTAATAGTGAGAGATCAGAGTAGAAGAGAATGGGTATGCTGTGCTGCAAACAATCCATGTCTTGTGATAATAGGACTAAGAGAATGTGCAAATGTGTAGGCTGTGCTGAAAGTAACCAATGCCATCACATGACTATGATGTAGGGATGGATAAAAAACATGGAAGGCTGGAATCAGGTTCTAAAGTTTACTGAAGTTTAGAGTCTTAGAGGCTGCAGTGTCCCAAGCAGAAAATGAGATGCTGTTCTTAGAGCTTGTGCAAAGGCTTGCTGGAGCATTGCAACAGGCCTGCAACAGAAATGTTGGCATGGGGACACGGTTGTGCATTGAAGTGGCAGGCAACTGGAGATGAAGCAGCGACTTACCAGCACTTCATTCAATCTGGTCTACTGTACTCCCTGTTCACAGTGTGGTCTCCTGTACATTGGGGAAATGAAACGCTGACTTTTGAAGTCTCTTTGCAGAATACCTACGTTCTGTCTGTAAGAATGCCCCTGAGCTAGAAACTACACACACAAATACGTGGGTCCTATTTTATGTAGGCAAAAAAAAATGTGTACATGCATTGCACCTTTTTCAAAAAAGGGGGTCATGGAGACAACCAAATTTGGCTGCATCCCAATGGCAATGCCCTGACCAATCAGAATCTATTTGTTTGGTGGGGGAATTAAGATTGATGGTGTATCTCCATGGTAATGATGGCCCAGCCAATCAGCATCCTCTTTTCGAGCTCTTCTCAAGTCTGTCTTTTGTGACCTACTTCTGATGAGCACAAAATCAAAAGCTTCAACTCTTGCCTTCTTTTAGCAATGCTTAAGTTCTGTCTTATCAAGAATCACTTCTGAGGGCACATAGGCGGCATGGATGAGATGTCTATGTAAATATGTTTCCAGTTTTGGAAAATGTATGCCCACTTTTCATCAGCAGCTATGTGTGTGCAAGCTTCTGTCTAGCTA